CCAACGGACGAAGAACTCAAGGAAAGGGAAAGACAAGCACAGCATAACGCCATGTCATGGATGGTATGCTACAATGACGGTTGCCAAACACACTTTGGCGATAAAGAAGTCTCAGGATAGTTCCCAAGGGAATGTCGGAAGCGTGGTCCACGTCCAGACCATGTTCTAAAGCATTGGCCACAATGCTTCAGAAATGGGTGCAGGATGTACAGGGCAGAAAAAATATCTGCGGGATTTTACCCGCAGAAGGATGGAAGCCGAAAAGAATTGGAAGGGGACGATACCAGAAAGGCATGGGCCGCGAGGACGCGGTCCAAGGAGGGAGGGGCCCAAAATTCCTCAGGAGACACGGAACCGGATGTCAGGAGCCTACACAGGCAGATGCGGGGACTCCGAGAACAACTGGGGCAAGCCGAGGCCACAATTTCGGCAAACTACAAAACAATCGCAGTGCTTAGACAGCTGAACGACAACCGGCGGCAAACGATCGAGATGGCGAATCTGACTCTGGAATCAGTAAGGGTCAGATGGAGGATGGCAGACGAAAAGTTCCACAAGCTGAGAAGGACCATGCGCTCGGCAGGACAGGAACTATTGAAACTGGGAGAAAAAGCCTGATGGGACTCAGGCTTAAGAGGAGGGGAGCTAATGTCACGAACGTGGCTTAGCGAGGAAAGGGTTTTCACGTGACACGTGGTTATGAGTCACAGGTATGTTATTGTTTCACACATATAACCTATTCGGGTTGTATGATTAGTTATGTGTGGGATTTGTGATGCTTTCGCACATGGCTCAAGTATGAGTCATGGGACATGCGCTTGATGAGTATGCCTTACGAGTGTGCCTTACGGGCAAGCCTTGCGCATATGATTTATGTTTCGCACATGACCTCATTATGATGTCATAGGTTTCGTGCATATGACTCAGTCGAGTCATATGACTTATTTATTGCGTTATGATTGGTTTATGAGTTTTGCACATGACCTCGCTATAAGGTCATGGGATTTGAGCATGTGATCACTTTGGTCACATGACTAGTTTGTTTTGATTTGGTTTCACACATGTGACCACTTTAGGTCACATGATTAAAGGCGGGAAGAACACTATATAAGGAGGCCGCTGCGGCTGAGGAAGATAGGTTCTTCACGCTTTGTTCTAAGTACTTTTCCTACATATTACTTTAACGAATATAAAACACCTTTACGATCTTTATCCTTATTGCAACGTTATCATTACGCCAAGAAGCGCTCGTTACGAAGACGAGTTAGAGAAAGCTTACAATAGGTGTTTCCGATAGAAGACAAAGGTCTTGTACTATCGGTAACATAGGCAGAAGGCTAGAGCTATCGTAAGACAAAGAAAGAAAGGGAAAAGATAAGTATCGTTCCCCGTCGCCAAGAACTAACTATCTGAAAGGGGATCGTTACAGGTGGTATCACCCCCTTTGGGGGGGCAGGTGCCTGAGTCCTCTGTGGCTGAGCCTGTGGCTGGTCGGGGAAGCACTTCTAGTGGCATCCCTCCTGTGGTGGTGGGTGGTGATGAGGGTGGTCCGTCCACTCCTGTTACTAGACCTGTGCCCTGGGGTGGCAAGAGGAAGAGAAACAAGAAGCGCCGGGTCAAGCAAGATCAGACCTCACCTGTGCCACTTGTTCCCGACTCAGAAGGGTCATCGCCTTCGCCGGTTCACTATCACTAACCGGCTGCTACAGAGTCCGCGGTGGGTTCGCCGCCTGTGGAGCGGGCCGGGGAGTTGGAGGATGAGTTGAATACCTGGGCATGTTCGGGCAAGTGCCGGTGGCTTGGAGACTATATCGTCCCGGCTGCTTCTATCGAGGTTTTTGGGCTGCGCTGCGGGTGTGGTGCCCCCCTGATTCTCTACGATGGTTCGCACCCCCTCGTCTAGGGAGCCCTCGCCCTGTAAGTTGGCTTTCCTGTTGGGTTTCCGCGCTTGGGTTTTGGGTGTTTCTTTTGTTTGGGATTGGGGGTGTGTGCCTGGCGGTTGGCGGGAATGTCCCGAGATCATTGAGTAGGGGCATTCGGGAGGGTTTCTACTGTGGAGGGGGTTATCGCGGGGTCACATTTAGGTGGCGGTAGTGGGATTTTTGTATTTTGTATGGGTAACTTGGCTGGTGGGCAGGCTGGGCTGAGGAGGATTTTCTTTACCGATGATGGTTTTTGTACTTAGTGTTCGTGTTAGGGTATGGCGTGGGCATGTTTGAGGTATGGGGCTGGAGGTTTAGTTAGTTTGTAGTTAGTGGTATCCGGGATGTGACAACCTGGAGGCCCGGCCCTGGGGCTCATCGTATGCTAGTGTTGGCGGTACAAGTTTAAATAAAATTAGATTGACTTCTAAGTACTTTTCCTACTTATTACTTTAACGAATATAAAACATCTTTACGATTTTTATCATTATTGCAACGTTATTGTTACGCCAAGAAAAGTCCTTTACGAAAACGAGTTAGAGAAAGCTTACGATAGGCGTTCCCGATAGGAAACATAAGGTCTTGTACTATCAGTAACGTAGGCAGAGGCCCAGAGCTATCGTAAGACAAATAAACAAGAAGAAAGAAAGAGAACTATCGTTCCCCATCGCCAAGAACTAACTATCCAACGAGGGATTGTTACACCGACTCTCCGACATTCCTGATTCGAGTACTACTGTTGGAAACTGCCTTCGAATTCCATTGATGATTGGAGTCTATGCAAGATCAGCAGTTTTTCCAGAACCAGTACATGCACCAACAAAGTTATTATAAACTATTAAATCATTAGTATAAACTAGGGAGTTCTATAGGGTAGAGCCAAGAGACATACAAATTAACGAATTAGTCATTTGCCTGTATCCCCTATGTGTAAGAAGACCATTATAGATCCAAGAAGAGAACTCCCTTCGCATCCAGGTAACTGATGTTTCGTGAAGGCGGCCTGCCATTACAACACGAAGGTATCCGTCGGGGGCTATGAAATGGACTCTAGTAATACTAGTAGTTAGTATCTTCTCACACTGGGCATATACAAGGTATAGGGATAAAGTATCTGAACAGTTAATTTTGGTTAACCTGCAAAATGAACCCTGTTCTGTAGGAAAACTTTATCCCTGGCATTTGTACTCACTGGAATCCAAGAGTGTTAACATCGGGAGGGTAAAGTTTTTTTAGAACCCGGGAGGAAACAGCGGGATCAAGTTTTGGGAACACAATAAACTGGCAGTCACGAGTCCCCAGTTCCCGATAAATTCGTTTGATTATTTCCTCTGCCATGGTGAGGTGGGGTGTTTGAACTGGTGGGGGTGTTGGTAGAGCTTGCGTGTTTTTGATAGAGGACTTCGCCAAAGGACACGCAACAAGGTAGCGACTGTTGAGGTTACCCGACCTTTGACCCAGTCCCTACGATATGCAAGGGATACCGGTATGGGAGCAGGGTTGGCGGTGACGGGGTGGTCACCCCCAAAACTCAACCTGACCGGTCACCACCCATAAAAGGTGATGTCAAATTTACGGTGGTGTAAACACCAAGTACTAGTAGTCCCGTAGTCTCTCGGTATTATGCCAAGCCTCTTATTTCCCGTCACCCCCCATTACCCCTCGTCACCCCTTCTTCCTGACCACCCGTCACTGACTATGGTCAGTTCTCTGACTAGACACTTGGTACTAGGGAGGTTTTGCACGCAGTATAAGATAACGACAACGACCGAGCCTTGGCGCCGAGGCTGGGGCTGGTAGTTCTCTAATTCCGAACAACGAAAGGAGGTTTTGCTAATGGAAGAAGCTTGGGGAATAAAAAATAGATAGCTGCTTGGTGAGTAGTTGAAATCTGACCCCAGCCGCAGTCTGTCATGAGACAGCTCTTTCTTAGGTACCACAATTACTTGGGTTATGCTGAGATACACGCAGAAGTCACTAGTGTTATTTTTATTTTAGACCCACCGTTGTTCGGGATAAGTTAACTCGGGTACCAATCCCGGATAACAGAATTTTTGTTATCAACACATCAACATGTGGCGGGTTGTCACAGCAACAACAGAAAATGGGGGTCTTGGCACTCGAATTCTCTTAGCAAAACCCCTACTGACGGGTCCTCGCAACACTGTGTGGGAGTAACGGGCCGCTTCCCTTGTGTGGATGGTCGTCCGGGCTACGGTAACCTGACGATGAAAATATTGTTCTGTGACTGACTCGATAAACCGGAGAAAAGAGAAAGCAAAATGAATTGTTCCCGATCAGGTAAAATGTAACAGACAAGAGAAGAACAAAAGGGGGTGAAGCTAAACCCAATTTAAATATGTGTCGTCGTGATCTAAACCGATGCTGAAGGTGTGATTGAGGTTTCACGAGTGCGGCCGATAGATTTATTTGTCACGTGGGTCTGATAAGAGATTTTTGGTGAGGCTTTCTCACCAATTTTTTCTTATCAGACTCACGTGATGAATATATCTATCGGCCGCACTCGTACTTGTATCTTGTCGCCCACACCAGTCCTCAGCCCCAGTGCCATGAGTCCTTGGCGTTGAGGGACAAAAATAGGTTTTACAAGTTAGCGCCCAGGGATGGATCATTTGGTCGTCAGCAATTGCCAGTATGGTGTGATATTGCAGGGTCTGGGGGAGGTGGTCATTTGCTCAAGAGGATCAATAAAAGGATCCCAAAACACCCGAAAGAGGCACCTAAGGCACCGCTCTTGGACCGCCGTGATGAAATATCACTCCAGGTACAGTACTCGTACAGTATGGTAGTTGAGGGTAGCAAGACACCCTGCGAATTTTTGCGTTGGAGGATAAAAAACCCCAAGTAATAGCTTTAACTGCTAATATCCAACTTTCATCTAGCCTGCCCTGATCTCTATAATGTTGCATCTCTATTCATTTCTAGGTTCTATAATCTCCATTCTTTATGTCCGTTAGTCTCTTATCCTTTTGCAGATCTCGACGGAATTCAAAGCGGGGAACCTACAATCGTGATATATCTACATAGGAAAAATGTTAGCAAACAAAACCTTTCAGTCTATGAGAAACGAAATGGACAGTGGGAAGCTTACTCGTGCGAAAAATCACAAGTGTAGTAGGCGGATTCGCCACCCTTACCAGTTCCTAACGACACTAGGATTTCTAGATCCTCCATAGCCAGGATCTCGCTTGCTCGCTCCTCATCGACATTTTCCGGCTCTCCATTAACAAGCAACTTCAGCTCCGGAGATCCATCGGTAGGAACAAAAGAAACGTTTGTCTTCTCCGGTACAACCCCTTCAACTCCGGAGTACCCCGTTGCGCAAAGGATACGACCCCAGTTAGCATCTCTTCCGTAGAGCGCCGTCTTAACAAGCGGTGATCTAGCAATTGTTGAAGCAACTTGTTTGGCATCTTCGAAGCTATTTGCATCTTTCACACTAACAGTCACGAATTTCGTCGCTCCCTCTCCGTCCCTGACCACAAGTTTACCCAACTCTTCCGCAAATCTCGTCACCACTGCTCTGAGGACTTTTTCCCCCTCGGTGCCGATCTCGATTGTTTCCCCACCGGCAGCACCGTTTGCGAGAAGAGCTACTGTGTCGTTCGTGCTCATATCCCCATCTACAGAGATTGCGTTGAAGGAACGCTCAATAGCGTGCCCAAGGATACTCTGTAACGCATCCGGAGAAACAGGTGCATCAGTGGCCATGAATCCGAGCAGCGTGGCCATATTAGGATGAATCATGCCAGCCCCCTTAGCCATACCAGCGATTGAGTACTCCGTAGGAGATCCTGGGAATTTGAAGCTTTTGGAACAGAGTTTGGGAAAGGTATCAGTTGTACAGATAGCCTTCGCAGTGTTCAACCAAGCCTCATGCGAAGTTCCCACGGTCTTGTAAGCATTGGGTATCCCATCGAGAATCCTCTGTATCGGCAGTCTAGATAAATTCGCATCCCCAAAGTCAACATCTCCTTCAATTGATGATATTCACCCCACATCGAATGTCAAAGGGTGTCTAAAATACCTCTGGCCAATAACCCCTGTGGACATAACAACAGTGCTTGCCTCCCCCTCTCCCACCAAGCCATCCACGGCTTTCCCCATAGCAATCGCATCCTCCAACCCCCCCTTCCCGGTAACCGCGTTCGCGCAGCCACTGTTCACGACCAAACCCCGAACCCCGCTTCCCCTCCTAGCATTCAACATCTCCCGACTCACCAGCACAGGCGCCGCCTTGAACACGTTCTTTGTGAACACTGCCGCCGCGGAACATGGCAGTTCGGATGTCACCAGTGCGAGATCGAGAGACTTGCCGTCCTTCTTTACACCACAATGGATCCCGCCCACATTGAAACCTTTAGGGTATGTGCCGAATTGGGGTACATATTTCCATTTTGCGTTGGGGGTTGAGGCGCTGGTGGGGTTTGCGGTGGTGTAGTTGCGTGCGTTTGGAAGACGTTTGATGAGTGGGCGCTTTAGGCGGAGTGACATTTTGGATGTGAGGGCCGTATCTATGGAGGGCGGGGTTTAGAAGGGGGAGCAGATGCAATAACGTTGTGAAGACGGTGGAAAGGGTGAGTCAATGGGGGAAGATGGAGGTAGAGGAAGGGATGCCTCTTTTCTTTTCTTTTCTTTCTTTTTTTCCCTATGCTGCGGTTCAATTGAAGATCTGCCATCGTTCGAGAAACAGGACCTAGACCTAAAGCGAGCACAATGCAAACAGAAGCCCCATGTGGTAGACTAGAGTCAAGTATGATACCGCATTATCTGGCGATACTGGAAATGAAACTAGTACTTAGCGGGGCCATGTGGATATATTGTGAGGGTGTGGTGAGCTTAGCCAATATAAAAATTGGAGACTGTGAGATAATACAGTTTTCTTAGTGTTCCATTACTAGACGTCTACAGATTTATTCTCTATCAACATATTCAACTTCCTGATCGTACCCATTTGTCCCAATTATTCCACCCGGGGAACTATTTAACACATCCCTCCAATCACCAATTTGGAGATGCGAGGAGTTAATGTTCTTAACAGATAACTCTGTATCGCAAGAACCATCTATTGGCAATGTAAGACTCAATTTCTGGAAGGTTTCAACTACCAACTGCTGATGCTTTCTTCCAAACTCATCCCAAGCCTCGCCAACTGCTCTCGTAACCGGAATCCGGCGTTCATGATAGGAATACCGAGATCCGATACCTAGGAACCACCCTAGGTAGGGTAACCTCTCCCGAAATCGAAATCTCAGGTCTCCAACACCCCCCTCGGGCCCCCTTACGGGGCCCGCGTGGCATCATACATATCGATCTAAGTTGCGTCCTGTGAGTATTATACCACAAAAATCGAAGGTGTTAAAATAACACCGTATACGTCGCCGCCGTCCGTCCGACTGGATCCTGTTCGCAGGATATATAAGAGGGGACCTTCGGCTAGGTCTGGGAAGTATAACGGAGTGAATCCGTCAACTATCCAGAAAGTTACTAGGCTTCAAGAACGAGATATCTTTGGCATAGGCCACAAGTAATGGGACGTTTTCGCGCAAAGAGATGATGATGAATAGTAAAGGATCTTAATGAAAGACCAATACATTCACATCCACCCTACGATAACCAGAAGAGTCTGGAACTCCTGAGAATACTACCATCGAACCCAATGGAGTTCGAGGAGTGTTACAACTAGCTTCCGGTACATACTGCAACCGAGGGGGTGACTCCCAAACCGGTGACAGTAACCAAAATCCTGTTACCCATGGCAACCAAGGGTTACCAACCGAGGGATTATCTACCAACCCTATGGAAAGGCTTCCTGCAGGTAAGTAGGAAGTCCTCCAGAAAAGATCTATCGGTTGGGTATGGAGTTATGAAGAGTTGAAGTTAGATGACCTAGAAAGTCGGTAATAACAACTATCTTCACAGATGCAACCCGCAGACGAAACTGATCATTTCATCGACAAGGGAGACGATTGGAGCCAACACAGTTCGACTTGAGAATTGGGCCGTTTGTCTAAAAAGACTCTCACCATCGGATAATTACTATTGGAAACAGCATGACTTCCAAATAGTCATATTATAATTATCAAAGAGGGTGTGATGATTTTCAGGGTCTCCAGGTGTTCGCACCTTGGAAGAAAGCCCGACGTTGCGAGTTATATTGGAAAAAGGTACATGGTTGTATGTTAGTTAGATGTAGTCCGCGAACACTCAGACGCAGAATATAAATATCGAAGTGCCTTCCAAGCTTTAGACATCATCAAGCAACGGAGAAGAGACCTTAACAATATAATATTGTTCTTACGATTTTACTTTACTTTACTTTACCCTACTTTACTTCGCTCTTAGTAGTCATAAACGAAACGAGTGAAGTCCGAGCCTTCCTAGACAATCTCTGTCTATAAAAACGAATCTTGATCGGCCTAGACAACTCTGAAGTCTATCGGGTTGTCTCCGCCTAACAGTTCAGCAATCACGAAGGTGTTTGAAATAGGTATTTCACGAAGGTTCAGTTGGTTGACCTTCTCATAGTCGTCTAAAAGATTATCAAGGATATCGCACAGTAGGCTCTTAAAGGATTTATTTACTGAAACGTCGAGTGGTTGTACCAATCCTGTACAACCAACTGGGATTAAGGAAGGGATAATATCGTGAGATTGGATTGTTGAAAGTACTTCTTTAGTGCAGTGGAATTTGGCGACATCGAGGGCAAGGAGTTTGGGTCCTGGAGGTAGGGCCAGAACAAGCATTTGATCAATCCAATTGATTAATATCTTTGAGTTTGCATAAGCATTCTCATTCCAGCATACCGCCACACGTGTATCATATCTTTCCATCTCTTCATCTCTTTTCTGCTGGTAAAAGCAACTTCCCTTCCCTTCATATTGCTCTTTTTCTTTAAAAATTATAAGAGGACATACTTTATTCTGCCCATTTCCAAAAATAGCAAGAACAAGCGTCGCTTGACGCTTGTCCCAACAACTCTAGAATGCCTTAACCTGGACTGACTTACTTCCTTTATCTGTGTTGGTTTGACTATCAAGATATTCAAAGGAAAGTGGAGTCTCATCCATATTGCAAATGCTATCGAGTAAGTAGCGGCCCACTACTCAGTTTGCATCAGGATGGGAAGGATGAAGTTGTAAGTTATGGCGATTGAAACGCATCCATGAGAGGATAACCTGGAGGTAATCGTCAGGTATTTTCTGGGACTTGTTCATAGTAAACCGAAGTGTGATAGCATGTCAGCTTAAAAAACCATTAAACCAACCATCAGAAAAACAAAATTTTAATAAAGATGAATCAAGATAGCAATGGTGAAAGGAGTCTTGGGCCTGGCGAAAAAACCAGCTTCTCCATACAGCTTTTCGATCTTCACAGTTTTTTCAGTACTCATGATATAAATTGTCACGAACATGGCTTAGCGAGGAAAGGGTTTTCATGTGACACATAGTTATGAGTCACTGGTATGTTATTGTTTCACACATATGACTCATTCGGGTCATATGATTTGTTATGTGTGGGATTTGTGATGCTTTCGCACATTGCTCAAATATGAGTCATGGGACGTACATAGGGCGAGTGTGCCTTGCGAGTGTACCTTGTGAGTATGCCTTGCGGGTAAGCCTTATGCATATGATTTATGTTTCGCACATATGACTCGGTCGAGTCATATGATTGGTTTATTGCGTTATGATTGGTTTATGAGTTTTTCGCACATGACCTCGCTATGAGGTCATGGGGTTTGAACATGTGACCATGTTGGTCACATGATTAGTTTGTTATGATTTTGTTTCGCACATGTGACCACTTTAGTTCACATGACTAGGGGCGGAAGAACACTATATAAGGAGGCCGATGCGGCCGAGGAGGATAAGTTCTTCACGCTTTGTTCTAAGTACTTTTCCTACTTATTACTTTAAATATAAAACACCTTTACGATCTTTATCTTTACTGCGACGTTATTGTTACGCCAAGGAAGGTTCTTCACGAAGACGAGTTAGAGAAAGCTTACGATAGGCATTCCCGATAGAAGGTAAAGGTCTTGTACTATTGGTAACGTAGGCAGAGTCCTAGAGCTATCGTAAGACAAAAGAAGAAAGAGATAGAAACGAAAAGTATCGTTCCCCGTCGCTAAGAACTAACTACCTAGAGAGGGATCGTTACATAAATGCTCTTCAAGTTCTGGCCACTGTGCTAGTACTTGTTCTGTTGCAGGTACTTTCCTCTGACCCTTCTTACTGGCTACAATTTGATCCTCTTTCACATGACAATTATGGAGAGTTGTAATAGGAACATGGTATCTCACTGCCACTTCCTTCATTAGGGGTACTCGAAGGGAACCTGGCTCCTTCTTGGTTGGTCCTTGTGGAACTTGGTGGTTATACCACCACTTTAGGACCATTATCTTGAACTCGCGGGAGTAGGATCTCTGAATACAATAACGCTCTAGCCCAAACTGCTTTGTCGAGGGTGGGCTTTCTCGTATAGCTTTCGGTAGTCTTCTGGGCTTGATCGTCCGGTTGGAGCACTCTGCTTGTTGAAATCCTCCATAGCGTGCAACATGCTCGGAAGGCATTAATGGATTTAATAAAAGTTCAATATTCATGATAAAGAGGAAATCAGCTTCATATCCTAGAGATAGAAATCAAACCTATTTACACTATTAATACAGCACAGGTACATATACAATACTGGTATGCTACTCATTTCCCGTGTTTACCGATATCAATATAAACATACTGTGGTCATCAGTATGTTGTTAGCTACGACATTATGATTGAATTGGGGTAGTACAACCAACGTGGCAACTCACTTTTCTATCTAGTTTGGTGATAGTCCCATTTCCAGTATCGCCAGATAATGCGGTATGATATCACGAGAGGGGGAAGTCGCAGAAGTATCATAATTGAACAAAGCGAATGGCTCACTTGTTACTTGTATGAGTGATGAACTATGCATGTTGTGTTTCCTCATCATATCATATAAATTTATAGACCCTGGTGCTGTACAGTACTGTACTGCCTTTTCGCAATACCGGTGATCCATGAAGCAAGCTGTATCATGATAAATCATGTGACAACGACTCGGATTTTCAGGTTTGGAACCATAGACGAGTACGAGTACAGTACTGTACAGTGCTCAGGGTAAGTTAGCACCCTAACTTCTGACGGCATTCGGGGCCATTGAGTGCTCTTCTGGAAGAGTAAGCCTCAACTCCCTGAACGGGCCTTTCCCTTGCTCGGCGTGCATGAGCAGCACAACATCTCATAACCAACCACCCGACCGCCACCCTTTAGTAAAGCTTCCCCCTCTAAGACCTCCCTCCCTCCAACCGTACCAACAATCCTGCACCTACATATACCGGTAATACAATGAAAAGAAAACGAACAGTTTCCACTTCTCCCCGAGACACGTCAACAAAACCTCCCTCTACCACCGCCGCACCGACCCTGTCCTCCATCCCCCTCAACCTCCCAGCAGAAGCCGCCTCGTCAAATACACCCACCCGTCCACTCCCTCTACCCGAGACCCCAGGCAAGCAGCGAAGAACGACCCTCCTTCAGCCCGAACAGCTCAACGGCACCGGTCCAGGCGCGGGCACTGAAAGTGTGCACTCCCCGTCACCTCAGAAAAGGCTACGCACGCCAATGACACGTCACGGGAATAGTACCAGTGTCCGGTTCGCGGAGAGTGTGGTTCCACTCGGGGATGCAATCGGGGGGCCGGTGACCAATGCCGACCGATCGGCGCGAAGAAAGAGCGTTCGCAGGATCGTTTCCAAGGCCGTCGGCGGCGGCGAGGACAGTGACGACGAGGACGAGGAGGAGGAGGACGTGCTTGCGCGCAAGATCTTTGGGGATGACGATAGTGATGATATAGATGGACTACTCGCCGATGAGGAAGCCAGTGGTGTCCAGAAGAAACGCGGTGGGAGCAGCACAACGACGGCGTCGAGGAAGAAAAAGAAGCAGCTCGTGGAAGAGGAGATTACCGCGCCCATAGACGGCCCCGATTCTTACTTTTTCCAGAATCGAAAAGCGAGACTTATTACGTCGAATAGCACCCTCGCATCCCTCCCTGTGCTAGATCACAGCTCTTACTTCCGGCTCATTCGCGAGCATGGGCCTGACCATGTGGAAGATAGGGCCTACCTGGAAGGCCTACACAGGCAGAACTTTCCGCAGTGGGAATTCGAGCTAAGCCAGGGTTTCAACCTTTTATTGTACGGATACGGTTCGAAGCGGAATCTGTTAATGCAGTTCGCGAAGCGCATCTACCGCTCGCCTCGCGGCCTCGTGGTAATAAACGGCTACGTCCCCACTCTGACCATAAAAGACGTGCTTACAACCGTCGCAAAAGCCACAATCGGCCCAAACCACACCATCCGCTTAGGCTCCAACCCAAACGACACCCTAGACACCATCCTCTCAATCCTCGACACCCATACCGCAGAAGAAGAGCGAAAAGCCGAAGAGGTGGAGGAAGAATATGCCCCCATAAACCACCTAACCATCCTCATCCACAACCTCGACGGCGAACCCCTCCGCACAACCCGCGCGCAAGTCCTTCTCTCGCGCTTAAGCTCCCATCCAAAAATCTCCCTCGTTGCCTCGATAGACCACATCCATGCCCCGCTACTCTGGGACGCCGCCAGGGTCTCGCAATTCAATTTTCTCTGGCACGACGCAACCACCTTCGCCCCGTACTCGATCGAGTCCTCGATCGACGACTCACTAGCACTCATCAGCGGAAGCGGACGTGCTGGCGGCACGAAGGGCGTGAAATTCGTCCTCGCATCGCTACCGATGAACGCAAAGTCTTTGTACCGCGTACTTGTCAGTCATCAATTACAAGGAATCGAAGACGGAACGGCTGGCGCCGTGGGCGAAGATGAAGTCGGCGTGGAGTATAAGGTGCTTTATCAGAAGGCTGTCGAGGAGTTTATCTGTAGTAATGATATGGCATTCCGGACACTATTGAAGGAGTATGCTTCCCCCTCTCCGCGCTCTTTCTATTTTTATTTCCTTCTATGCTCTTGGGGATGGTGATGCGCTAATGCTGTGGTAGGTTCCAAGACCACCAAATGGTATCTTTGAAAAAAGATGCTCAAGGCACAGACGTACTCTGGGCACCCTTCAAGAAGGAGGAGTTGCAGGCTATATTGGAGGATCTAGTGGCTTAGGCTTATTTTCTCCTTTATACAAGCAAAAGGTTCCGGAGGGGCGGGTTTACTAGGACGCTCTATTCTTATTTATCATTATTTTCTTCCTTTCCCTCTCCTCCTCTTCTTCACAGTTGTATTTTTTACGGTTCAGTTCCCTGGATGAAGCAAGATGAGGATATGATACCGGCGGCAGTGCGCATGCTACCAGTTGTGTATAAAGATTTGCGTTTGTTTGCTGGCTTGCATCATGTCCTGTTTTTCTCTTTCCACCCTTTTCATCTCTTTATCCCTTCCAAAAAAAGTTTTTTTCGATAGATGTAATTCCGTATGAGAATAGGTTATTTTCTTCAGAAGCAATGTTTGTAGGAGTTAGCGGGTGCATGGATTATCACTCGGTCATGTAACTCATGTTGGTCTGAGGTGAACCTACGGTATTGTCGTACCTGTAGTCAGTTACCGTATTGTGGATTCGCAACTTCCGACATGAAACTGTCGGACCCAGTGCCCTGAACGCCACAACCGGCAATCCCAGTTAGGCAATTGTAAGTGGTAATCAATGTCAAAAAAGGAAAAAAAAGACTCCCTTGAAGTGACACGGTATGTTAAGCGACACACGGTATGTTCCATCTCATTCACCAAGCAGCTCGGCTGACCAAGGGGATATACCATTGGCTATGTAGGACATTCCCTCAGCAGGACACCCCAGTGGCAAGCACACTTTACCTATCCAAAATAACTAAGTACTTAGGGGTCCGATTGCGGTCTCGTTTCTCCCGACAATGGGAATGCGGCGCCGGATAGAACCCAACTGCAATGCGGGAAAACCGGGATAGTTAACTATCTAGAGGAGTGTGCCGGTACCGCACCGGTATTGCAATACCGGTACTTGAACTAGTCACTCGCTAGCTCCGATCCCCCGGTAAGATGATCCCCCATACTAAATCGATAGTCATCCGAGGGATCAATGTTAGGAAGTATGATGGTACCGCCGGGCATGCCTAGCAGACCCCTAGACAATGTTCGGTATCTATATATGCTGGCTAGCATCTTCTCTCGTTCGTGAAGGGGGATTTATGTACGATATAGCTCTGGGTAATTTAATGGAAGGAAGATATAATATAAAATTCTACCTAGTGACTGGGGCAGCCCGAGCTCTCTACTGACCGTTAGGATATCCGGGTAGAATTGGTGAAGTTGTCTACTTCAACCAAGGCATCAGTGCCCGCGAGCTGCTACGGTACTGGCAGTCCAGCCAGGCCGAAAGCCGGCTTTTTCAGGGGTTAAAGTTTGGCCTCTGGGGCTTATCTGACTAGGCCCGGCCGGACGCATGTATGATGATAGACTGTAGATATAAAGTGTGGCTAGGTGAGGTGAAAGTGAGTGGCCTGGGGGGGGAGGGGGGATTGTAAGCCTAGCTCTTCCAAAAACCTGTGTAGGCTTCATATATCCGTGGCGGTGTGGGAAGTAGTATCATACTCTTTGGGCGTAAGCTATGTGGCTTGCAAGTATTCTGCCGGTGGGCGGCGGATACCCTTAGATGAGTACCGGTACCTCCAGGTGCTCGTAAATATCTCCAAACAGCTATATATATCTTTAGATGTCCACAGATATCTGGGGGTATTTGCCAAAATTTCCCTATAAGATGCCATATCTGAAGCTATCCCCACCCCACCTCTAGGCCTAGGACACGCGAAAAGGAATAAGAAAACTTACCGAGAGGTCCAAAACATCAAGAGTAGCTTGGGGGGGGAGAAATTTCCTATCACTCGATATATTCCTAAAATGTAGATGAATTACGTGCGCATTCATAAATGACTATTTCATTATCAAGCTATAGTATTTCGCACCACTTTGGTTCCATTACGGGTCTCAGATCTCCAACAAACAACCTTCCTTACGGCTCCTGCCACACTGCGCTGTTCTCTAAGCACTCCTCGTCCAGATGATTCCGGATAGTAAACTATTTCACCTTTTTTTCTTTTCTTCTTCTTTCCTGATCCAGATTATTAGGTGAGAGACAACCTTCCGGGCGAGAATGTAAATATACACACTCTCGATCAGCAATAGGTTCTACACCCCGTGGTCTCTCAGCCCCCCTGGGGCCATAAGCAATGGTGGTGAAGATATCATATCACACCAGTACAGTCATGCGAGCGCAGAGACTACCTATACATATCCTAATATTCTATTCAATCTCTCCTACAGTACGATATGCGTGCGCACGTTTTGAAACCCTTGGATCGGAGCAATCACATCAGATCACTCACGTCTCTCAGTGAATTTCTTGACGAGTGATGAAATGGAGCACATTAATCTCGATTAGCTAGTGTACAACACTTGCGTGTGAGAAACTAGGAACAAACGAAGATGAGGTAAGGTGGAAAATGGAAAGTATCGAAATAGGCAGATGAGCTGACCGGAGTAATCTGGTAAAGCGAGAGTTAAAAGTTACACGGGGAGAGGGCATATTTCATAGCTATCAGAATATCATTAGTTGCGCCCATGCTTTGAAAGCCCATTAGGCGAGTTTTTCAACGACCGCAGTGACAATCAACTGCCGTACCAGTATTTCCAGGCATGCCATAATACGTATAAAAAACGTGGTATATCATGCTGGAATAAAAGCACCCGTTTTTTCCAGAAAACATTGGTGTTTGGCAAGTTTGATATTTCGGGGTTCAATAAGAACGAAAAGCTACATAAATATCATAATATTATCAAACATGTAACCCTAATCGATAGGACTGTTTTTGATCTCATTTGACTGTCTTCTGCAACGATCCCTTTGAACTTATCATACAAGTGGGGACCATGAAAGTAACGGGGCACAAGCGATTTTACACCGAAAATGGCCAATTTCACATGCTTATTCAGCCATGAATACTTGAATTAAAAATAGGATAACTTCATAGAGTGTTCAGAAAAGATGTAGACTACTTGGCCTCTATTGTAACTTTCAGGAAATTTAAATTCTCTGAAGAGTAGTAGCAAAAGGTAACAAAACTTTCTTCAGAATCACGCCAAGACCATAAATTTTGGTGGAAAAACTGTGTCTTGGCGAAATTTGAAAGTTTAATAGCATACCACTCTTGAGGATCTGGGGAATGAGTGGATATTTGTATATAGAAAATGATCTTATTACTGTTTTCAATTGTTCTATGGAGAGTTTGTATTTTTGTGAATTTTCTCTGTAGTCAGATCTTGGTGTGAAATCTGCCATTTTTGGTGTAAAATCGCTCGTCTCCCTTTACTTTTATGTTTTTTTTTTTTTTTTTGTTAAATCTGTGGTATGATTTTAGGTACAAGTCCTAGGGTATAACCGTTACATGCAGGAAGTATCTCATGGCAGATAAAAACCCAAAGCAAAAAGATAAACAAAAGAAATAAATCAAAACCAAAACTAATACTGTCAAAAGGTAAAAATCAAAGTTAATAACCGCCTCTGATCAAGGCCCTCACGAAACCATTCATCTTCCTTTTCAGAAATTATGACTGAACTTGTAGCCCCCCGATAAATGGAATCAAATCCATAGATAAAGGAAAATTAACATGATTTAAGGACACAAACAAAACCAACTCTCCCATAAGTGCCCATTCTTTCTTCTTTCTACTCCATATCTCTGATATAGGCAAAATATCAAAAACTCCTTCTGAATGTATAAAGTTCTCTTCTCCCTCTTCACATCTGGGACATATTGGGTTGGCATCCGGATCCCTCCAGTCTCGGTACGCTTTCAGGTAGCTTTTGCTTGTCCTTATCTAGTAGAGCTGGGCGGCTGTAAATTTGTGTAGTATCATGAAGTGCCAACATATCCTGAATAGTGGTCTAAATCCATACGATGCTGAGCACTCCCTCAATGTCCATTTATGGTGTATAGCCTTTTGTACTGCCTTGATTGCATTGTTGTAACACTTGCACTTGTCAGGTTCTAGTGGAGACCATTGGTTAGGTTTTCTAGGAGTTAGCCATTCTTTGAAGAGAAGGTGGGCTCTGCGCGCCATTTTATCTATCGGGAGTAGGCATTGTACAGACATGACTGATGTAGAATCCCAGGTTTTTGGTTTTAGTCCTGCAGCTCTAGCAAAGGCTGCACTTCGATTAGATAGAAAGAGATATTGGTGTAGTATGGGAAAGCCCGGAGGCAGTAGTACTGTGGAGATATTGTTTTCAGGGAGTGCAGTTACTAGCGGTATAGTCACTATATCCCTTATCTGTTCTATGTATAGGTCCACTGGCATTAGACAAGCTTCAGTCGATAGTATTGTCGGGGGACAAAATTAACTAGCTCTCAACGGCAATGGCAACGCTCCCCTCCTCATCACCCCGCTCCCTCAACACTTCCTAAAGAAATTGCTCTACACCAACCAAAACCAAACCAATTTACTTAACAATAAACTATGTCTCCTATTCTTTGCAGTCATGCTAAACAGCCTATTTCCTCCAAGCACCTTTCTGAGTTTACAAGGGGACGAATTCTTGGATTACATGAGCCTCAGATGACAAATCACCAAATTTCCCACTACCTTGACATTCCTCTCAGTACTGTTAAAAGCACATTTGCAAAGAGAGATCAAGACGGCAAGGAGAATGAAGGTAGAGAAAGATATCCTAAAACTACCAAGTTGCAGGATGATGCTATGGTAGACGAAGCTCTCAAAAATCGCCATACCAGCTACTCTGAGATTGCTGAGAGAGTGGCTCCAAATGTTTCTGCTAAGACTGTGAAGAGAAGACTTGCACAAAAGCTTCTTAAAAAGTGGATGGCATAAGAGAGGGATCATTTGAATGAAGATCTAGCTTAAAAGAGATTGGAATGGGCATTAGCCCATAGGAATTGGACAAGGCAGATGTGGAGAAGGAAGGCAATGTAGGGGGATGAGGTAGCTTTGGAGAGGGGAGGAGGAAAGAGAAGAAAATGGGTATTTAGATAGCCAAAAGAAAAGTGGAATAAGGATTGTGTTGAACCTACTGCTAGGAAAGGAGAGAGAAAGATTAGTCAGATGATGACTGGTTGTTTCTATGGTCAAACTCATGGTCTTTTTTTACCCGTTTTTCCTGATCCTACTTCTGCTGGAGGTGGAGTGACTGGAAAGTCAATTATTGATGTTTATGATGAATATGACTTTCCAGGGATATGGGAGGATATCAAGGAGCATGTTGGAGAGAAAGAGGTATTTTTGATCATTGACAATGCTAAGACTCACTTGCCTTTCAGGAGATGGCTCAGGAGAGATTCTATTCATCTATCTAAAAAGGCATTTCCGTCCAACCAACGAAACCATGAAATCTATGAATCTTGGCGAGAGCTCCCTTAGGTGCATCCACACCGTCATCCTCATCAGAATCCTGATCGTAA